GGCACGACAAGCAGTACAAGAAGGCCCACCTGGGCACGGCGCTGAAGGCCACCCCCTTCGGCGGCGCCTCCCACGCCAAGGGCATCGTCCTGGAGAAAGTGTGGGTAGAGCTGGGCGCCTGCCCGCGTCCCCCCTGCTGCCTGTCTGCCAGCATGACCAGCGTGGTGTGTTTTTCCGGGTGGCCATGCTGAAAGGCGTTTTCTTCCTCATACACGTGCCACTCGAAAAGCTCTGCTTACGTGGAAGCAAAGGGATGAAAATACCGTGTAACTCAGCTGAGGATTTGGGGGCGGGGGTGGGTTTTGTGTGTCAAAGATCCCATCTGCTTGTGCTCCGGCCTTTCTTTGTTTTTTTTTTCCCCCTTTCATAATTTATAAGCTTCCCTGGGACACCGCCAGAACTCCAAGGTGTTTCTCTTCTCCCCACCCCCTCCGCATTTTTAGTTCCTGCATTAGTATGTGTCGCTAGGGGATTAATTTTCAGTTTTTACTAAACTTAAAAACTGGGCTTTTATATATCGAGTACCTCTAAATGAATAACTAATACTAATTACAGATACAACTTGCCCTTAGTACAGAGTAATACAGTAATTTGTGGTGGTGTCATGAATATCTGCTAGTTCATCAGACTGGTTTTTGCTAATGTGTTTCCCATGTGCTTCCATTTTAGTGGAGTAGAAGCTAAACAGCCCAACTCTGCCATCAGGAAATGTGTTAGAGTCCAGCTGATTAAGAACGGCAAAAAAATAACAGCTTTTGTTCCCAATGATGGCTGCCTGAACTTCATTGAGGTAACTTCCAAGAAGCGATCTATAAAAAGTTCTGTATCAAAGGAAATACAGAATTGAAGGATCCAGGGGATGGTTAGACGGGTTTGTGGTGTTCTGCACCACGTGCATCTGAAAGCTGCAGCAGCAGATGAAAAATGCGAGAGGTCTCTGTACTTTCCCCGCTCTTAGCAGAGCCAGTTCTCAGCTGTGCTCCTGCAAGCGAGGTGATGCTGTCTAGGTTTCCTTTTTCCAAGACGCTGAAGGGGTAGCAGCCCTTCATTATTAAGTCTGTCTGTAGTCGCCTTCAGGGTTTCTACCCTTTTCTTCAGATTTGAGCCACGGCCTAGGCTTTCTAATGTTACCCAGTTCAGAAGTGTGCACAGGTTTAATGTCTGTTGCTTGGTAACTACCTGGTCTTTCGTTGCAGGAAAACGATGAAGTCCTGGTTGCTGGTTTCGGCCGGAAGGGTCACGCTGTTGGTGACATTCCTGGAGTTCGCTTCAAGGTTGTCAAAGTAGCCAATGTTTCTCTGTTGGCCTTGTACAAGGGCAAGAAGGAGAGACCAAGATCATAAATTTAGATCAGTTTGCCAAGGTCAATAAAATTTTTGATTGAAAAAACTTCTACGCTTCTTATTTAAGGCTTATGATTTTTTTTAATGTGTATCTGCAGGTGACGTACCTCAGAGACATGGGGGCGTGCTGTCTTCTTTCGTGTTGGGAGCTGGCTTTTCCTTCTCTAGGAAACGCTTTGCTGCTGAATGACAAGAAGAGAGCCAGGGCATCTTTATGACCAGCAGGCCAGCACTGCACTCCCAAATTTACCTTTGGGCTGTGTGGGGCAGCACAGCTGCCTGCTGGGATCTCTGTCAGAGATTTACTTGGTAGCATTAAAGGGTGTTCTAGCACTGTGGGGGCCATCCCTGATGGCCAGCGCCTGCGCAAAGGCTTCTCCAGCTTAGTAACCAGAGTAGCGGCTGTCAGGATGGAGTGATTGATCGAGAGAGGCCTGCATCCCCTCATGACCCTTCTTCCCAAAAGCTATCAACAAAAAGGGCCCTGCAAAACAATTTTTGGGCTGCTGCTATGCCGCTGGCGGGGCAGAACCGTGAAGGTTTTGAAGCTTGGATGGGAGCGTGACGCTAACGGAGCTGAGGGGGCTCTGGAAGGAAGCGGGCTGCGCTCTTAGCAGATGGGGAAGGGCCCTGCAGTTGGGTCCCTGGCCTGCGTGGTTTCGGAGGGCTGGAGTGCAGCGGGAGCGGGGAGGAGGAGAGCTCTGCGTCACCCTGGCACACGTGGTGCAGTACAGCTGACACGTGCTGCGCACACCGAAAGCAAAAGTGGGTGAACTGCTGCTTTGGTGATCCTAAGGCTGTGACCTCGCACCATTAGGGTGATTGAGGCTCAGTGCATCATTAGGGACAGCTTCTGCAGCAGGCAGGCATTGGGGGAGTAACAGTTCATTGCCCACATCTTGCAGTAAAGTTAACGTTTCCTTGTTTTCCTCCATCAGTAAAGGTCTGGAGTGGGTATTTCTTACTGGATGTTAGTACAGCACTTACAGATGGAATACACCAGTTAGGATGAAAAGGTTTGCCAGGCAGCGGGATTAGATCTAGTGTCTCTTGTTGGATCTGCTGTGAACTTCTGCTAGTAATCCAGTATTTTTTTTTGCGAGAGAGGTAATTCCAGTTTTATAAAATATCACTGTGCTCTACGAAGGAAGATCAATTGCTTTTCAGGAGCACAGGATAGCCATACTTTTTCGTTGGACACTAAATGGTTCAACCTAACTAAAGGTGGTTGGTTGTTGGTTTGGGTTTTTTCCCCCAAAGCCTGAAGTACTCTATATTACTCCCCTGTTTTTGCCTGTCTGCCGAGTCGCTGAGCGTAGGTAGTTTGAGAGATGTTTGTGTTAGCTGTAATAAATACTACACAATCCAGAACTTAATTACAGACCCAATCTTTTTTAGAAGAAACAGCCTGCTGTCTTGTGTAGATGGAATCTTATCTCCTGTCACCGTGTCAGTCATAAAACTCTTCCCATAGGAACTGAAATGAAATTTCTTACTGCTGGGACTGGCCAAGAAGTAAAAAAACAACCTTAATGTTTCTCTTGGATTATTAAATTCATCAGGAATCAAAATACCCCCTCAAGTAAGTTGGGAGGAGAAATGGCATTAATTTCAATGCGTATTTTGGAAAACAGCCTTCCTCAAAAGGAAAATGGTCGCTGTAGATGTTGAAATGGTGTTTATTCATGGCATTCACACTACGACAGCAGTTCTAGTTTCTGGTGTGAAGACAGGCAATGGCACCTGACACACAGTTCATCAGGTTTGGGTCCCAAAGGGATCATTAAACCATTTATTTTACCTAATCTCACCTCTGTCCTGCTCAGCCCACAGGATTTCACCCAGCTGCTTTCATGGTAAGTGCAACTTAAGTCTTAACTTGTTGGTCTTGGGCAAGTCTGCCTGATTTGGAGACACCCTCTTCCTTTCAGTGCATTCCAACTGTTTTCATTTAACAGCTGTCTTACTGACTTTGACGTGTCTTTGAGTAGGCCTTTTTGGCTCGCTTTGCTAGATTAACAGAACTTCTAAATAGTCAGATTTTTATTTATTTATTTATTTATTTACTTTTCAAAGATATCTGCACCATAATCAGGCTATTTGAAAAACTGAAATATTTCATAAGTTGGTATCTTCAATCATTATTCTCTTTGTATTGTACAGTTTCTCAACATCACTTTAAAATGTGGATGCTAGAACTAATACAGAATTATAGAACAGGATGTCAACCAAGAAGCCAACGTGCCCCTCTGTATCAGCCCTTAAATAATTGCCAGACCTTCTGTTCTGCTGATATCTTGAATTTGGCCCCCTGAAGGCACATTTTGCGCAAAGCTTGTAGCAGAGCACTGGGTTCTTTGTTTCATGTTAGAGCTATTTTATGCAGTAAAACCTCAAAATATTTATTTGGCTGAAGTTAAAGAGTGTAAACAATCCCCTCTTGGTAATCACCATTCATCTGCGTGTTCATCCAAAAGGCTCTGCTTCAATTAGTATTCATTAACGTACATGAAAATGGAGTAAAATTTAAGAACAGATTGAGAATCTTTACTACTGGGTGTTTTATAGCTTAGTCATCCGGGAATTTGTGAGATCTGGATTCAAACCCTCGTTTGGGCGCAGAAGCAAGGTTGAGCTTGGGTGTCCCTCATCCTTGTACATGCAATCGCCCCAGTCATAATGAAACCGGCTTTCGCTGCAGCCCCTTCCCAGCTTCAAGGGGAACTTTGGAAAAGCTTCTCTCTGCGATTCCAGAAACAAGATTCCCTCTGTTGGAACCTGACTTAAATACCCTTGAAGATTTTCAGAGTGAGGCCTTAATTCCTTGACTGACCTCAGACACGGTGTAAGCAGACAGTACCTGTAGCGCACTTCAGTCGACAAGCACGTCGGAGCGTAGGAGAGGTTGGGCAGACCATGCCCTCAGCTATCCCCATGGTGCCCTGGGCTGCCCAGCATTGCCCCGTTTTGGTTTTTTACTGTGCTTTCTGGTTCCCTAGCACTCCTGTTGTCTTGGGCAGTGGAGGGTTAACTGTTTGTAGCTTTTTT